ACATATAACTCGGAAAAAGTCACATTGGTACTTGCCGTTGGTAGGTTTCGAACCTGCACCCTCATGCATGAGAAGCGGGCGTCTTAAACCTCCGGGCCACCACGACATAGATGTACACCACGATACATAAAACTTAGCTTAACATAGATTAATTTATAACAAAATGTCTAAATTTCAGATTATCACTTGGTAAACTACTCAGATTGCTTTAACCCAAGTTTATCAACAACAACTCCATGCCCAGCACTTGATAAGTTAATGACTAAAATTCTTGGCTACTACATATTTAGACCTAATGGAGCAAAAGCAGTGTATGCAAGTACTACTGTTAGAACAACAAAAGCACTGCGCAGGAACCAAAGAAGATATACACCGGAGAAGACAAGGAAAATTAAAAAAACCACCACTTGTTCACCTTGCGAGAGAAATAAGAAACTGCTCGCTGAACTGGAGGCCAAAGCATGGTCAATTGAGCCAGTTGTTCAGAGTACCACAAAGAAGAAACGTAACTCTGGCCCGGTATGTCTATATCATTATCTTCACATCTATCTACATTCTTATTAGGTGACATGTATTTCATATTAAGGTCAAATCAATTTATTAATTTTTCGTCTTAATATAAAGGAATTGACGGATTCGTAGAATTAACTAAATAGTTTTTCCAACACCAGATAAATGTTAACTGGAAAATAACTATCAATATTTGACGATTCTTCAATACTAAAAATGTCAAATGTCAATTTTATTCTACAGTTCAGTAACTTCCGAACTACTAGGCCAAATTGTATAATATTTTTGTTATAGTTAGGACAAGGTTTGTGTGAAAGAAAAACTGGATGCATTCATCGAGAATATCAGAAAATAGTGGGTCACTAATTATAATAAATAAAATATTGAAGGGAAATGGAGGGGGTGAACTATTATTACCTATGTATCTATTTCAATTTGTATGTGGATGCAGGAGTGGAAGGAGGGCAGAGATACTTTTGTACTGTAATGGGTCGATTATGGGTAAAAATAAATCATAAAATAATTTCAATACAGGTAAAAAGGTCCCGAACGGAAGCAACGATAGTGTTGAAAAAAGAGACAGTGTGGAAAAATGGTAAGATGATGCACAAGGTGGTAAAAGGATTTAAATCGAAGCCAAAGATCGCAAAACGAACACATGACGACTCCGATTTTTTGGAAAATTTAGCGTAGGAAGTAATTTTACTTCTACCTATGTACACAATTATTTGAAATGATATAATATAATTATTAAACGCAGAGGACTTGTTCATTTTACTTGTTACAAATTGTCTGTTTAAAGTCTACATGTGTAATTCTGGAACCGATTATTTGTTAATACTACCCATCTGAACATCTAAAACTTTAGTCTTAATCAACTTAGTAGTTAAAATTTTCGGTACAGTTAATTTTCAAGGGTCGGCAAGGCGCATGTAATGTTGTGTTGTGCTACAAGCCCCAAGAGAACCTAACGGGTTGCCGGGGCTCCTGCTCGACGTGCAGAAGAAGGAACGGGGTGGTTTTCAGTCAGTAAGAGTCTGACACTTCCTTCCGCCTCAACCAGGCGGGAGCAGTTATTCGATGATTTTCCCCGCTTAAAAAAAGGCCCAGGTATTGCAAGCGTACATAGGCCACGTTACCCGCTTACCATCAGGTGGGCCGTGTGCATATTAATTTGCCACCGTCGTGGTATAAATAAAAAATCGAACCGATGTTCTAAGGCCTTTGTTCAGCAGTGAACGTCTGCCTGATGATGATGATGATGATGATGAATTAAATTCATGAATCTGTGATCTTCAAATTAATCTGAATCTTGGTGTTAATTGGATGTGAAATTGTGTGTTTGTACACGTATCTGCGATATAGGAGTAAATTTTAGTGAGTGGTAAAATCTAAAAAATTACTGATTGCCTTATTTGCTCTCAATAATACCAATAAATCAACTGAAGAATATCTCTCTTATGCTTTGAATTTCATCTAAATGTCGTATTTCAATAGCACCCTAACAAGACTGCATATTAGATTAAATTAGAATAGAAACCTTCTATAGACAACTTGATTAGTTGTCTTCTAAGAACTGAATTGCGTAGGACGATGCGTCAATTCTAGGGATCATGGCTCGCTTTAAATTATCTTTATAGAAATAGTCTTGGAGAAAATCGATACTATTTCTAACAGGATAATTTTATATTATAACTTTCGTGAGACAAACAAAATTAATTATTATATTTTTCGGCTTACTCACGTAATTATTTGACAGGAGGTAGCAGCGTGACAGTCACCGAGTCGCGGGTCGCGGAATGCTGCTTATGAATATGAGCCTCGAGCATGGCTTGAGAATACTCGAGTTCCTCGTCAAGTAATTACGTGAGGACAATTTTGTTTGGTATTCTTGACGGAGTCGGATTAAGGTATAATTTTGGAATGAGCACAAACTTAGATCTCGCCAAGCATTGAGCGTTGACAAACTCCTCATTTGCAGAGGAGGCTTAAAGTCTATCAGAGAACTCTCACGAGCTGCTGATGATGATAACAAACCTATTTATAGACTACAATAGTGAAAATGTTTTTTATGGGATAAGCCAGTAATCGAGCATACGGATCACTTGATGGTAAGTAATCGATGCCGCCCATGGACACCTGGAACACCAGAGGCGTTACAAGTGCGTTGGCAGTTTTTTTGCAGGTTATAAATTTGAGGATTATTGAGGATTTTGGTATCGGAGAGATTGTGGGAGGGGGTGATTGGGCCTCCGGTCACCGGTAATTGTTGAGAACTTATGTTCAAATTGAGGATGGTGTGTTCGTAAATTACCCTGTCCAGTCTGAATCTATGAGAAAATTCATCAAATACGGCTTATTGTATTATAAAACTAACATACACTAGTAAATAAGCGAATATTTGAAACAACTGTGATTTCCTATGCAAAGTTAAAAAACCCACTAATATACAAGAAAATTTATAAAAATTCAACAATGTTTTTTACAAATCAACTTCGACATAAATCCACTGAATCACGTGCTGTTTACAACACGCAATAAATGTACTGAAACATTTCACAATCAAACGGATTTTATTTTTTACCATAATGCTACATTGGATTACTTTTTTTAACGAACATTATTTCCGATACATTTCTTGTTTTATGTAATTATTCAATCGGTTGCGCGTTATCAGAATGACAATGTAACTTGACATACTTAATAATTAAAAAAAAAATTAAATAAGTTGTCTTGATAATGAATTGATTTACTACAAAATAAAGATGTTTCTTGAAACCGTTATAGCTTTGAGTGAGTGGTGTTTTTCTTATTTACAATCTTTTTCTATACAAGCCAAGTCCATACAGTCAGGCAGTCAGGGGACAAAAATGACCTGAGACACGTGTCACCAGCGACGTTGGGTACAGTAGCGCAACGTTGCCAGAGTTTGGTCGACATGTCTGGGAACATCGACATCACTGTGGACATAAGCGCGTTGTCGCTGTCTATATAATAATATGTCAAGCGTGATTTGCCGGCTTCGCTAGAAATATTGCCGATTCACGTCACGGGATATTTGTCCTAGTGTATCCTTCGGTTCAGTCAATTATTTACCTATGGGTTTTTTATAAATCAGCTATTAATGAATTGACATTTAGATAGTTAAGTAAACGTGTTAAGTGTTTTACACGTTAATTTTAAGTAAAATACTGTCTATAACAGTGCTCTGATAATTTAAGTAACTAAGTAAAGTTTCTATTTTCAGCATGTTTTTTAATTACACCTACAATACATCATATGATAGGGGTAAGATATAAATTGATGAGAATTTTAATCTTCTCTGTATATAAAATGAATCCCTTTTTCCCTTGGTCACGGCATCAAGCGTGGACCGATTTCACTAATTCTTTTTTTGTTATTATTATTAGAAGAAAGAAAACTCCTGAAAATTCTACTGGAACGGGAGAAAATGGGACTGCGCGTACGAAGTCGCGGACAGAAGCTAGTTATGACTAAAAATTAAGATTAAAATTATTATTCTACTAAAATTTTCAGCCAATCGATGAATGTACAATGACGAAACTATGTAATCATACGTGGACACCGCTCTGTGCATACAATGAAGTGAACGCTAGTTACAGATTATTTTTTGATGATTGCGATTTACATGAATATAACTGCGATAATAACAAAAGTAAGAAAAATATACAAGAAATTGAATATGAGACTGCCTCATTGGCCAAATAGTCGCAAGTGCGACTGCCGGACAAGGGGTTTTGGGTTCGATTCCCGAGGCGGGCTAAGTATAACTGGGTTTTTAAAAAAAATCTCAGTAGAAGCACGGAGTCTGGAATTGTGCCAGGTGGGTTTATGGCCATAGGCTCCCCTATTACATGGGACTCATAACATGAATAGTGAAAAGTGAGTGTTGCATTGTACAGTGGCATTAAGTGCCGCAATGTGCACCTCTGCCTACTCCTTCGAGGATAATAGGCGTGATATTATGTGATGTGACATTGAATATCAACAATATGATAGTGATAGTATATCTAATATTGAATTTATCAAATTATAGCATATAAAGTAACAGAATTTATGAATTGTGGCCAAAACTGTACACGACGTGACGAGACTACTACTCCTATGACTACGGTAAGTACAGAAGCAACTACATCTACCAGTACTACAACTACTTCAGTGTCTACCCCAGTAACATTGACAGAAACGACGGTAAACGTGACAACCACAAATGCAACTACACCGTCTACGGAAATGACGACTAACGCAACTGATACGACTACTGCAACTACGGCTACTACTACTACAACAACTACAACGACTACAACAACTACTACTACTACAACTACGACTGAGTCCACTCCAACCACATCGAAAAATGACAGTGAGAACACCATTCCTTCTATAAAGGATTGCTATCCTAATGACTGCACTTTGCCATCTACTTGGGACACGACAGTCGAAGGCGAACGAAGAGATTTCGTACAAATACTAAATGAACGTTTTGGCAAAAGAGTGAAAATACTAAGAAATACTTCACATTTTCCCAAAACCCCTGCGTATGTTAGGGAAAGTGATAATTTTATACGTGGACATTATAGTGAAACGCGGTGATGGGTTTGTTGGATTTTCCATCACCAAGTCTTATGTTATTAAACCTTTTTGTATAACATATAGTTCTTTTTTTTTCGTCTATCAGTCACGACCTCATTTAGATTGTACGTTTTTTATACACAAAAGCGAGAATTTTAGTATAATATGCTTTACACGACACTCCGTAAATAAATGTTCTATTGCTATGCATTTCAAAATTATGATTAACATCGTTTTTATTTCTCAAAATGGTAAATCTCAAATCACGTGCTTAGCAATCTCACAACCACTAGACTTTAAAGTTTAAAATAGCTTATCTTTACACAAATCGACCTTTGCATTCATCGTTCGTGCGTGGGACTTATGTACAATATTAATTGCTGCTCTTAGAAACAATTTGTCTACAGTCTCGACATTGACTTGATCTACTTTTGACAAAGGAGTTTAAATTTCATATCTTAGATCTTTGGTACTGATCTTCTCACGAGAAGTTTAAAGGGTAGTTGTTCTAGCATTTATATATCTTTGTTCGTCTGATATTTTATTACTTAGTAGTTAAGGTGCACATGCTATCGCTAATAATATTATGAACTAACTACATTTAAAAAACCCACTTCGACCCCTCTTTTATTGTAGTCGGTCAATTACATTGACAATTATAACACTTCTCTGAAATCACATCAAAATCGTTTCAGCCAATTGCGAGATAATCGCGCACAAAATATACATTTATGAGAACCACTTTTTTTGAAGTCGGTTACAAATGATCCTTGAGGCAGGCGACGTGAAAAAAGGTTATACCTCTAAATAAAATAGCATCCACTATGTACTTACTAACATGAGATTCATTATGATAGTGAACAATGTTTCATTTCATATGAACAATTGTGCATGTTAATCTATTCTGAGATTTAAATGTTAAGAAATAAAGTTTAAATTATTACCTCACCGATTACAACTACTACTCATTTGGTATTTCCCAGTTCAGAATCTAGTATAAGTAGGCCAGACCTCTACCAATATCGGGTAGTTTGCAATTTATAGGTTGTTAGCATTGACATGCAAATCCGAATCGATATGCTCAGCTGAGTCGAGCCGAGCGTCAAGTGCCAAATACATCGCATTCATTGTATTTCGCGCGGAATATGTTCACGGATTTATA